TTTTTCAATGCAGCATATTATTCCATTGTGTGAATATACCACAACTTCTCTATTAGTCTTTTGTTGATGGGCACTTAGGTTGTTTCCAACTCCTTGCTATTGTGAACAAAGCTGCAATAAACATGGGTGTGCAATAAAACTCTTTTAAATGGAAAATTTCTAGTAAATATGGGAAGCAGACAGAACAAACCTAATAAAATAACACCTTTCCCTCCAAAAGGAATGTTAGCTATATGTATATTTATTGTTTACATATTTGGAAATTTTCTACTTGATGGTGGTGGTGTGGTGTATGCCCTCAAGTCAGAACCAAATCATAGCTGACCCTCCAGCAGGTTTTCAGAGGCAGTAAATCACACTGGAGGAGATTGCCCATTCTTCTCCCACAGAGCAGCTGGTGAATTCAAAACATGCACCTCTGAGATGGCAGCGCAGCTTCTTAACACTGGAACATCCCTATTTGATGGACAATATAATTAAATAAATTGGTTTATAAGTCCTGAGGTTATCAATGGAGTCTTTACAAATACAAATATTACATGTTGTTGTTGTTGATTGCCTTTGTGTCAAGCACGACTAATAGTGACCCTGTGAAAAAAAGGCCTGAAGCCCTTTTACAACTATTGACATTTATCAAAGTTCATAGAGTTCCCGGAGCCATGTTGTTTAGGAAGTGGATGCCACTCCTGCTTCCAAAAATATTACATAGTGGCTTAATACAGAATTGATATAGAATTTAATGTCTATAGAGTATTGTGCATAGGGTTAGGGTTTAGTTTTAGACTTCTAGGGAAAGACAGATACAAAACTTTCTTTTTACTATTCCCTCTACAAAAGAGTTAAATTTAGAAGCAGAGAATTGTTGCTGTTGTTATTTTTACGTGCTGTCTAGTCAATGACTCATAGCGACCCTGTGAATAATAGCTCTGAACCCTACCCTATCCTGAGCCAATCTCACTGTCTCTGAAACACCTGCTCTCATTACCCCAGTCACTGTGTCAATCCATCTCCTCCCAGGTCTTCCTCTCCTGCCCACACCCTCTGCCTTTCCAAGCATGATGTCGTTCTCCAAGGACTGTTCCCTCCCAGCAACATCATCAAAGTATGTAAGACAGAACTTCACAACCCTTCTCTCCAAGGAGCAACCTGGTTTCACCCTCTCCAGGACAGATCTGTTTGTCCTCTTGGTAGTCCATAGTATGTCCAATACTCTTCTCCAGCACAGCTCAAAACATTGCTTCTTCTTCTGTCATCTTTAGTCACTGTCCAGCTCTCAAATGCATAGCAAGTAATTGAGAAGACCATGGCCTGGATTAGGAGCACATTAGTCTCTAGACTGACATTGTTGTCCCTTAGCACGCTGGAGAGGTCCCTGGCAGCAGACTTTCCCCAAGCAACTAATATTTTTATTTCCTGATGGTGTTGATTGTGGCCCTGAGTGAAATTGTTATCAACCTCACTCTCTTCTCCATCTATCATAATTTTGCCAATTGGCCCAGTGGTGAGAATCTTTGTTTTCTTGATGTTGAGATGCAATCCAGATTGAAGACTGCAGTTCTTGACCTTAAGCAGAAAAGTCTTCATGTCCTTCTCAGTTTCAAAAATCTTCATTTTCCCATAAGTTGTGGCACAATTCTTGTAATGAATTCACCCACCTTCATTAAGTGTCATGGCACTAGGGTAGCACTGGGCCAGGGAAATGGCCTGGTAGAAAGGAAGGCCCCTGACACTCAGTGGCTGGTCTCACTGGCCCGCCCTCCCCTGGGCAACTCTGACCTGTTGAGCCAGCTCCCTGGTAAGAAGAGGAAACAAGATCCTACACCATCATTCTGTCCTCCCCAAGTAACAGCTTACCTCAGAAATTCAGCTTGTTCTGTTTTAGACCCCAGCAGCAAAAGGAATATTGCACTAAAGCATGTCTTTTGTTTTGTTTTCCGAGTACATAGAAAAATTTTTACACGCTACTGTAGTCCAATCAGTGTGCAATAAAAGAATTATGAAAAAGTTTTAAACATTATGAAAATGATCAAAATGTGACACAGACAGAAAGTGAGCGGGCAGATCCTGCTGGAAAATTGATGCTAATAGACTTGTCCCACAGAGTTGCCACAAACCTTTGAGTCATGAGAATTGGAATCATCTGTACAGCACAGTAAAGTGAAACACAACAGAACGAGGTATGGCTGTAGATGAAAATGGTCCCTAAGAAATAGGAGAGGCCAGTCCTTGGAAAAGGACACCATGCTTGGAAATGTCAGCAAACAAGAGGAAGACTCTCAACGACATGGATTGACACAGTGACTGTAACAATGGATTCAAGTGTGCCAGAGATTGTGAAGATGGCATGGATAGGGCAGGTTCAGATCTTTTGTTCATGTGGTTGCTATGAGTCACAGTGTACTCAGCAGCACATTAACAGCAACGAGGGGAAATGTAAAACTACTCTGAGTAACTATGGCCAGGCATTCATCGGATTTCTGATTGGGTCCTCATGACATCAGACCTGTTCCTGTAGAAAGAATTTTAAATCAAGCTGTCTATGCACCTATCAAGATACTAGATTGTATCAAACAATGGCAGGGAAATTCTTCCACAATCCTAATCCACCTTGGGTTTTCAGCTGCATCTTCATCTAAAGCAATAGCAGGCAAGAATTCTCTTCTGCACTGTAATAATCACAGAATTACAAGAATTCTGATAATATTAAGATGAAGTAACCAAAACAAAAACCAGAAGGCCCTATTTTTTTTATTTTAATTTATTGTATGTGTACCATGAAATTGGATCTGACTGGTACAGGAGGAGATTGTCCCTCCTTCTCCAGCAGAACATCTGGTGGATTTGAACCACACACCTCTGGGATTGCAGTGCAGCTTCTTGCCACTAGGCCACCAGAGCTCCCTAGAAGGCTCTACTTTTTAACAATTGACAAGAACATTTTAATGAGAGCGATACCTCTAACTTCATTTTAGAAACGTTTCTCTCCCACATAAGGGCTCTCCTTCTCCTGTCATTTAAGGAGTCAGATTAATTTAGACAACATGCAAAGCAGCAGCTGTGGAACTTGATCCACCCTGCGTACCTTTATTGAGCTTAATCACTGTAATTTCAAATTACCTTGATTTCACTAAAGAATTTGTATTTCCCTCAGTTAAAAATACATCCTGAATCATTACTGATGTCAGATGAATCCTGGCTGGAAGCAGAGAATACCAGAAGGATATCTATCTGTGTTTTATTGCTTATACAAAGCCATTTGACTGTGTAGATCACAACAAACTATGGCCAATTTTTAGAAGAGTAGAGTATACAACGTGTTATCTTAAGAAATTGAGACACATAGATAGGGCAAAAGAAATAATTCAGAATAGCATTACCATTGTTTTACTGTATGTAGATTAAGTACTTGACAATGCAGACATTTTGAAGTAAATTTGACATGAGTTAAATGTTTTTGGACACACTGTACATTCAGGAGTATTTTTATTCTTTCTTCTGGGTGCTTTGTCTATATTCTTTGTAAATGCAGTACTCTTGGCAACAACAGCCAGGAAATTAAAAGACTTATTGTGATGGGAAAGTCTGCTGTTAGGGACCTCTCTAAAGTACTGAAGAGCAACGGTGTGTCTCTGGAGACTAAGGTGCGTCTGGTACAGGCCATGGTCTTTGCAATCACTTGTTATGCGTCAGAGAGCTGGATAATGACCAGGGAGGATAGAAGGAGAACTGATGCTTTTGAGCTTTGGTGTTGGAGAAGAGTACTGAGAATACCATGGACTGCTAAGAAAACAACAGATTCATCCTGGAGAGGATTAAACCAGGCTGCTCCTTGGAGGCAAGGATTCTGAGGCTTCGTCTGACATACTTTGGACATGTTGTAAAGAGAGACCGGTCTTTGGAGAGGGACATCATGCTTGGGAGGGTGGAGGGCAGGCACAGGAGGGGAAGGCCCTCTGCGAGGTGGACTGATTCAGTGACTGGGGCAATCAGGATGAGTGTGTCGTAGACAATGGGATTGGCACAGGACAGAGCGGAGTTTAGAGCTGTTGTACATAGGGTTGCTATGAGTCGCAAGCAACTTGATGGCACATAACAACTACAACAAATGCAGTACAAGAATAAAATTATTTAATAATAATAAAAAATGTAACACAGGTAAAGTGAGGAAGATTGATGGCTTTCTAATATGTCTCATTCTAGGCCAACTTTTAAGTTGGTATGAAATTAATTTTAGGCTGCTTTCTCTTTAAAGTTAAAACAAGTTAACATTTCTTGGCAAGAACAATTAAGAACAAAAAAATTTTTTTAATTTATTGCAAAATATCCAAATAGAACAAATGTTTTTATTTCTATTGTGTGCCATCAAGTCAGAACCAACTCATAACTGACCCTCCAGAGGGTTTTCTGAGGCTCTTAATCGCATAAGAGGAGATTGCTCATCTGTCTTGCATGTCTATTGTTGTTACGTGCCATTAAGTCGCCTGCAACTTAAAGTGACCATGTATACAACAACTCTGAACTCTGCTCTATCCTGAGCCATCCTCACTGTTTCTGACACATCCACCTCTATTACCCCAGTCACTGAGTCAATTAATCTCATCAAAGGTCTTCTTCTCCTGTGCTGTCCCTCCACCCTCCCAAGCATAATGTCCTTCTCCAAGGACTGGTCTCTCCTTGCAACATCCATCCTTGACTCCAAGGAGCAGCCTGTTTCACCCTCTCCAGGATAAACTGGTTTGTTCTCTTAGCTGTCCAGGGTATATTCAATACTCTTCTCCAGCATCACAGCTCAAAGGCATCAATTCTCCTATCATCAATCCTCCTAGTTATTGTCCAGCTTTCTGATGCAGAGCACATAATTGTAAAGACCATGGCCTGGAACAAGAGCACTTTAGTCTCCAGACTGACATCATTGCTCTTTAGTACTCTTGAGATGTCCCTGACAGCAGACTTTCCCAAAGCTTTTGATTTTCTGGCTGCTGGTACCAAGAGTGTTGATTGTGGAGCCAAGCAAACAAGAGCATTTTTATAAGGGTTTTAAAAAAATATAAGCCCTAGCCAGCAGAGGGTTGTGCTACCAACCCAAAGGCAGATGGTTCAAATCCACCAGCTGCTCTGTGGGAGAAAGATGGGCAGTCTCTTCCCATGTGACAATCTCATGTGATTTACAGCCTCAGGAAACCAGTGGAGGGTCAATGCAGAAGAGGAAGAATAAATGACAACAGTGAGAGAGAGAACTTATTACAAGTGGATGTATAAAACTCATTGCCATCAAGTCCATTCTAACTCACAGTGACCCTATAGACAAAGAGACAGATCACAAATTTTAAGGTTTCTTTTAACGTTTTAGAGGCTGAATTTGTTAAAGACCTAGAGGTAGTCTCTGTCCCTTGAACTCTTAGTATAGGGCACTTACTGTTTGCAGTTTGCCTTGAACTCAGTGCATTACATCTTAAAATACATGTGCGGTTTTTAATATGTGTTTAACTTTGCTATTGTTAACAGGTTGTGGAAGACTGGAAATTCATAGCCCAAGTTCTTGATCGGATGTTCCTGTGGACCTTCCTACTGGTTTCAATTGTTGGCTCTCTTGGCCTTTTTGTTCCCGTTATTTATAAATGGGCAAATATAATAGTACCAGTTCATGTTGGAAATACAAACAAGTGATACTTCTCAAGGGATCACAGTATGAGTTTGGTTACCAAAAGGCACACATATCTTATGGAACCTTATATAAAATTAAAAATGTAATGTTTAAAGTTTGATGCATCCTGTAACAGATGAGCTAAAATCATCTCCTTAGTACATTGTTCATTAGAACATCTACCCGTATGAACGAACATGATCTTCGGGGAAAAAACCAAACCAACCAACAACCAAAAAAGAGTGCCAAAATATTATTTGAATATACTCACCAGTTAATACTTATTGTTTCTGTCCTGGCAAAGAATTATAATTTATAAATAACAGTAAAGTTACTTTTTGATTATGTGCTAGAAAATTCAAGATGTACTTGAAGACTCATTTCAATATCTGTATTTTGAAAAGACAGACATTTTTAAGTTCTTTCTTAAAAAGTTCTTAAGTTCTCTTTGTCCTGTGTTTTGGTAACAACTTACCTTTATTATACTATTGGGTTAAAGTAAGCTATTTAGTGTGATAACATTTCAATGTGATGCTGCTTTCTACAAGCAACATTTTTTTGCTTTAAAGAAAGGGAATTGGGTACAAAATGGGCAAAAGACATGGAGAGAATTTTCACAGACGAAGATATTTGAATGGCAAACAGACACATGAAGAAATGCTCCAGATCACTGGCAATAAGAGAAATTAAAATCAAAACCACAATGAGGTACCATCTCATTAAGAGTGGCAAAGTTTAACAGGGCAGCAAGTAATAGATGTTGGAGAGGATGTGGGAAGAAAGGTACTCTTATACATTGTTGCTGGGATTGTAAAATGATGCAACCACTCTGGAAGGCAGTTTGGCACTTCCTCAAAAAGCTGAACATAGAAATTCCATATGATCCAGCTGTTCCACTACTTGGAATCTACCCTGAGAATATGAAAACTGAGGCACAAATGGAGATTTGTACACCAATGTTCATAGCAGCATTATTCACCATCACAAGAACATGGAAACAGCCCAGATGTCCAACCACAAACGAATGGATTGAGAAATTATGGTACATTCACACAATGGAATATTATGCAGCACGCAGGAGTAATAACTTTGTAAATTATTACCTAACTTGGGAGGGACTGGAGAGCATTATGCTGAATGAACTAACTCAGTCCCACAGGAATAAATATTGTATAAGACCGTTATTGTAGAATGAGTATAAGGATCCAGGAAGGGTGGGAGAGGCTGGAAGAGGGGATTAATCATTGGACTGTACAATTTGATGGAGGGGGTGAAGGAAATGGAAAGAATTTCATCAAATTTATATTGGAATTTTGTAAACTAGTGGGGTGGGGAGAAGAAAGGGAATTGGGAACTCTTTTATAACTTACTGCTTTCTTAAGTGAGTTGCTCAAGTGGAAAAATTATTGTATTAACTATTTTTATAAAATATTCCTTGTAAAATCATACAATAGACAATGCCTGTGGACATGCAGTAGCATACCCTGAATGTTCATTTTAATGCCCTTGCCCACAACGTCCACATTTAAGGGAACTATGATCTATATAGAGGGCTTTAGTGGCACTGTGGTTAAGACATTCAACTGCTATTCAATTCGAATCCACTAGTTTCTTCATGGATGAATGAGGAAAGAATCTGTGTTCATAGAATTTACAGCTCTGGAAATCCTGTGGGAAGTTCTGTGTTGTCCTTCAGGCTAATTCTGCGTCCAAACTGACTTGAAGGCAGTGAGTTTTGGTTTTGTTTATTTTATATAAATTGTGGTAGCATTTATCCTTGTCCTTCAAATCATACATTACTGTGACATCAGTCCACTTTAAAAACATGTCTATGATAACTATGAAATCATTCAATGAGAAAATCATTCTAGGAGATTAAAGATGGTACTGTTTTCTACTTTGGTGTAAGTGCATTGTTACACACCTGTAAATGCTTTCATTTTATTTGATTCCAGCAATTAAATAATAGAATTCCAGAGCTGCAAGGACCTTCAGACATAACTGAGTTTTAGCCTACCACCACTTCTTCAGTATAATATCATCTAGTTGTTGTTGTTGTTATGTGCCGTCGAGTCGCCTGCGACTCATAGCGACCCTATGTACAACAGCCCTAAACTCCACTCTGTCCTGTGCCAATCGCACTGTCTCCGACACTCCCATTTCTGATTCACCTATAACTAGAAAGAAAGAAAAAAAAACCCCCAAAAACTTGCCTTCTCTTTAGCACTCTTAGCTCTTCAGTGAATCAATAACTCTGATGTATTTATAGTAAGTAACCCATCTCAGTTCAAGTCAGCACTCTTTGAAAGGCAAAGAGGACCTGTCTAACTTGCATTTTATTATATAGGCAGGTGTTAATGTCATTTAATGAGTGAAATCTGCTTTGATGAATTTAAATGGCGTGTCTGCGATTTTAGCATGTCCATTCTTATATCTCCATTACTGTCACTTATGACTTTATTTAACAATAAATTTTATTTTAAAAATCCTCCTTTTGACTTATTGAAGCAGGAGTCACAGTGAATGGCAATGTCACAAGTTTTATTTTTGTACAGGAGAAACACTGGAGTGACTGGTGAAAAGATTAAAACGGTGTTTGTGAAGCATGGTCTCAGTAGGTGTTTAGTCAGATTCAGAAGCATAGGACGGGGCGAGGGGCACTGTCTCTCAGTAATTTGTCTAAAAGACTTGTTCATGAGCAGGGGAGATTTTGTACAAGGGGACTTTTCTGACAATGTCAGATGAAATATTTCGTTGTCACACTAGAAATGAAGGTGGTGGTTCTACTAGCATCCAGTGAAAGGAGGGGCCAGGGTGCTGGTAAAGAATCTACAGTGCACAGGACCACTTCTCCCCAAAAAAGATTTATTGGCCCCAAATGCCAGTAACACTAAAGCTTAGAAACCATGCTTTACAAGTTCATTAACTTGAATGCTTGATTAGGAACAATTTCTCATGGTATATAATAATTTAAAATGATGAAAGTTAAATCAGTGAGCTCTCTGGTTCTCAGCCCTGGACTCTCTAAAACTAGAAAAGAAGATGACATTCACCATTAGAACCTGTAGTGCTGGGGAACAATGAGATTACGGGCTATGGAAGAGAACTCACCGGGAGGTTTCCATGATACCAAACTAGAAGGACTTTCTCATTTCTGAACAAGTTTTCTCTCCAAATATACCTTACTTAAAAAAAATAAAAGGCAAGGTAGTTTTCATATTTCGCCCATTTTTATATTTCTCAAAGCATAGCATACTGCTGAACCTGCAGAAGAATTCCATCTTGACGTGTTTATTCATTCTTTATCAGTGTCTGGTTAAATATTTAGTCATCCTTAGTAAATACTGACATTTTTCTGGAATGATTCTTTTCTGACAAATCAAGACAAGGGGGATAACAAGTCAACTTGGAAATGCCAGGAACAGAGTGTGAAGACAGAAAGCCCCTCTCACTCTCCTCACCCCCCCACCCCCGCCCAACACACATGCAGGCTCACAGGTGAGTGCAGGTGTCGAGCTCACACATCATCCCTGGCCATCAAGGGCTGAAGAAATAACCCTGCAGTCCCCAAGATGCACACCAGGATGAAAACCCACAGAAAAATACGATCAATCACCATGGCCACGTACTTCCAGTCGTCTTGAATCTGAAAAACAAAAATCATGAAAGAGGGGGACAAAGTCATGAAGGGAAAAGCAAAATGAACACATTTCCTATTTAAATATTCACATTTCAGAAGCCATTTTATCTTCAACAGACTCACACTCAATGCTGTTGCAGTGGAACCAACCTATCGCTGACGCGATGGCATTTCCAGAGGCTGTAAACGGCACTGGAGGAGACTGCCCATCTTTGCCCTGAGGAACAGCTGTTGGATGCGGAGTGCCAAAGGCATTGTCCTAAGGACTAGGACAGCAGACCTCACTCTCCAGTGTATAAGATTTTAGTTTTTAATCTGATAGTCCAGGAAAGTCTACTAGGGAGCTTCGGTGGCCTAATGAGTGAGGAGTTGCACTGACAACCCAATGACAGGTGGTTTGAATCCACCAGTGGCTCTGAAGTTAAAACACAGGCAGTCTCCTCCTGTGCAATTTATAGCCTCTGAAAACCTGCAGGAGGGTCAGCTATGAGTTGGTTTTGACCCATCGGCAATGAGTTGTTTGAGTTGCAGGAATTCTACCAATCTTATATCTCTCTTGATGCAGTAGAAAAGAATAAAATACTCATCATATTAAGTATGTTTCAAATCAGAAATAATTTACACAAAATTTTTTTTGTTCCTTAATTCTAATTTACAAAGTTAGCAAAATCTCTTACTTGATTTATGCCTCTATGAAAAAATTCTGGTCTTCTGTTAGAATGGTTACTACAACCTGGTATCATTTACCATTGTTTAAAATACTTATTCTTATCCAATTGCAGGTGTTAATTTTCTTTGAATATCTGTTACCTTATTCCAAAAATGAAAGTCCCGAGTGCTTATTATATCACCCCTCTTGCCACCATTCCCTCTGCAATGTCCTGCTGACCACGTGTCCTCTCCATTAGGAAGGGCAACGTGTCATGGAGTTCTGGGTGGTTGTAGAGCAGGTTGAAAATGAGACATAACTGCCAACAGTGATGGAAGAAATAGCATATAATGCAGCTAACCACACAGAATACAGCATCAATTTAGGCTTGAAATTAGGAAGGAGAATTGTATGCTAATTATACTCCTAGACAATTCAGAAAGCAAAGAAACCATAATTGAATTGTGAAAGAGAGAACCCATGAATCAACTGATTTTGAAGAAATAATCACATAATAAGGAGACAGCATGTGATTAAGTAATTTAATTAAGTGCTCTGAAAGGGCTGGGAGACAGAGATTTTTATTTCACCATTAAGAGCTGGAGTAGATGTGTCCTCTTGGTGACACTAAACACGCAGAGGTAAAATTGTAATGTTAATACTTTGTGTACCACAAAGTACATACCGCATGGAGCAAACTTCAGGCCACCTCTAAAATGTTAAAAAGCAAAGATGACACTTTAAGAACTAACGTATGTCTGACTCAAACCATGGTTTGCCTCCATACCTTTTCGATCTATATGCAGAACATATTATCCAGGAGGCTGGGCTCTACAAGGAGAAATGTGGCATCAGGTTTGGAGGAAGGCTCATCAACAATCTGCGTTATGCAGATGACACAACTCTGCTTGCTGAAACTGAGGAGGATCTGAAGCGTTTACTGCAGAAGGTCAAGGACTGTAGCCTTCAATATGGATTGAAGCTCAACATCAAGAAAACAAAGATTCTCACCACTGGGCTGATTGGCAGCATCATGATAGATGGTGAAGAGACTGAGATTGTTAACAGCATTGGTTTTCTTGGCTCCACAATCAACACTATTGGTACCAACCACCAGGAAATTAAAAGACGAATTACATTGGGAAAGTCTGCTGTCAGAGACCTCTCCAAAGTACTGAAGAGCAATGATGTCAGTCTGGAGACTAAGGTGCACCTGATTCAGGCCATAGTCTTTGCAATTACTTTGCAATTGCTATGAATCAGAAAACTGGACAATAACTAGGGATGATAGAGAATTGATGCCTTTGAAATGTGGTGCTGGAGAAGAGTATTGAATATACCATGGACTGCCAAGAGAACAAACAGGTTCATCCAAGAGAGGGTGAGACCAGACTGCTCCTTGGAGGCAAGGATTCTGAGGCTTTGACATACTTTGGACATGTTGCAAGGAGAGACCAATTGTTGGAGAGTGACGTCATGCTTGGAAGGGTGGAGGGACAGCTCAAGAGAGAAAGACTCTCCATGAGATGGATTGACTCAGTGATTGGGATAATGGGGGTAGGTGTGTCAGAGACAATAAGATTGGCACGTGATAGAGCAGGGTTTAGGGCTGTTGTATATTAGGTCAGTATGAGTCACAGGTGACTTGACGGCACATAACAACAACAAAAATATGCATGCATGCAAACGTTAGACAATGATAAAGGAAGATTTTTGTGCCACTGAGTTATGGTGGTGGTGGTGGTGTTGATTGCCTTCAGGTGGAGCATGAGTCATAGTGATCCTAGGAACAAAAGGCCCGAAGCCCCTCTACAACTATTGACATTTATCAAAGTTCATAGAGTTTCTGGAGACATATTTTTAGGAAGTGGTTGTTGTTGTTATGTGCCGTCGAGTCACTTGTGACTCATAGCGACCCTATGTACAACAGCCCTAAACCCTGCTCTATTCTGTGCCAATCGCACTGCCTCTGACACACCCAACCCGATTATTCCAGTCATTGAATCAATCCACCTCATAGAGGGTCTTCCCCTCTTGCACCGTCCCTCCACCCTCCCAAGCATGATGTCCTTCTCCAAGGACAGGTCCCTCCTTACAACATGTCCAAAGTATGTCAGACGAAGTCCCAGAATCCTTGCCTCCAAGGAGCAGCCTGGTTTAACCCTCTTCAGGATGAATCTGTTTGTTTTCTTGGCAGTCCATGGTACATTCAATACTCTTCTCCAGGACCACAACTCAAAGGCATCAATTCTCCTTCTATCCTCCGTAGTCATTGTTCAACTCTCTGATGCATAACAAGTGTTGCAAAGACCATAGCCTGTATCAGATGCACCTTAGTCTCCAGAGTGACACTATTGCTCTTCAGTACTCTGGAGAGGTCCCTAACAGCAGACTTTCCCATCGCAATGTGTTTTTTTGGTTCCTGGCTGCTGGTGCCAAGAGTGTTGACTGTGGAGCCAAGCAAAGTAAAGCTGTTAACAATCTCAATCTCTTCACCATCTATCCTGATGCTGCCAATTGGTCCAGAGGTGAGAATCTTTGTCTTCTTGACATTGAGCCTCAATCCATACTGAAGGCTGCAGTCCTTAACCCTCTGCAGGCAAAGAATATTGAATGTAACACAGACTATCAAAAAACCCAAACAAATAAATATGCTATGGACAAAGTACAGCTAGATTGCTCCTTGGAAGTGAGTATGGGAGGCTTTATTTCACATACTTTGGACACAATGTCTGGAAGGACCAGTTCCTGGAGACAGACACTGCGTTTGTTAAAACATCAGCACACACACACAAAAATTGCTTCTTAAGATGACTTGGCAGAGTAAAAGGCAAATTACAGTGAGAATTTGACATGATGCTCTAACAAATGCCACTGATCAACTGTAGATGTTATTATAACAAAATACATATGAATGATTTAAGGAAAATGATTTAAAAAAAAAGATGAACCGACATAGTAATTACAACAATGAGCTAAACATAGGTACCTGAAAAGAACAATTTTAATTTCTAAGACTTCAGGCACCCTTGGTATCAGCAGTTAGGAAATAAGGAGATGCATTGCACTGGGAAAATCTTCAGTTAGGGACCTTTCCAAATTATTGAGGAGTAATGATGTCAGTTTGAGGACTAAGGTGTATCTTATTCAGGCCATGGTCTTTCAATCTGTATGCTGAGCAAATTACCTGAGAGATTGGACCCTATGAAGAGGACTGTGGTATCAGGATTGGAGGGAGACTCATCAATAACCTGTGTTATAGGGAGTTCTGGTGGCCTAGTGGCAAGAAGCTGTACTGCAATCCCAGAGGTATGCGGTTCAAATCCACCAGATGCTCTGCTGGAGAAGGAGGTACAATCTCCTCCTGTACCTGTCAGATCCAATTTGACGGTACATGCACAAAATAATAAAATAATAATTAAAAAAAATAACCTGTGTTATGCAGATGACACAATCTTGCTTGCTGAAAGCGAGGGGGACTTGAAGCATTAAATAAAGGAGAACTTGATCTGATGGAATCCGAATATAGGAACTTGTTGCAGAAAATCAAGGAATACAGCCTTCAGTACAGATTGCGTCTCAATATCAAGAAAACAAAGATTCTTACCACTGGACCAATAGGCAGTGTCATGATGGATGGAGAGGAGATTGAAACTGTTAACTGTTTCATTTTGCTTGGATCCACAATTAACACCCTTGGTATGAGTGGTCAGGAAATAAGGAGACACATTGCACTGGGAAAATCTGCAAGACCTGTCCAAATTATTGGAGTAGTGATGTCAGTTTGAGGACTAAGGTGCGTCTAATTCAGGCTATAGTCTTTCTTGTTACTAGCTATGCATCTGAAACAAGGACAATGAACAAGGATGACAGAAAAATAATTGGTGCCTTTGATCTGTGGTATTGGAGAAGAGCACTGAACATTCCATGGATGGCCAAGAGAACAAACAGGTATGTCTTGGAGAGGGTGCAGCCAGAGTGTTTTTTGGTGGTAAGAATGATGAGGCTTCGCCTCACGCTATGGGCATTTCTTGGAGAAGGAAATTATGCTGGGAAAGGTGAAGGTCAGTGAAGGGGAGGAAAACCCTCAACCAGGTGGATTGACACGGTGACTGCTGCAGTGGGCTCTTGTGTGTCAGGAAGTGTGAGGATGGAGCAGGATAGAACAGGGTTCAGATCTTTTGTTCATAGGGTCGCTATGAGTCATACTCGATGGATCTTAACAACAAGACGATAACTTTGGTAGGGAGGTCTGGTGACTTAGTGATAAGGAGCTGTGCTGCCAACCCAAAGGCAGGTGGTTCAAATCCACTAGGTGCTCCTCAGAAGCAAGATGGACAATCTTTTCTTGATTTAT